AAAACCAAATAAATTTAAAACAAAACAAAACAAAAAGAACCTGTTACTGGTTAAATGGCTTTGGACAGACAGGCAGAAGCTGAGACGTCCATAATTTAGAAAATCTGACTCAGAACCAAGCAGGAGCAGCGGGCAGACCTCCGAACATGAGCCTTACACAGCTTGACACCATTTTCTTTGCAAACGTAAGTAAAGATAGTCTTGTTTTCTGTGACGTGACCATCGGCCAAAAGAGCATAAATACTGGGGAACAGAAAACTATGATGACTGTGTCCTTCTCGCTGCTGCCACGTTTTCCTAACTGTGACAGAGATCTACTTATGGGAGCTCTGACTCCAAATTTCATGGAAGAATGTTTTTATTACTAAACTTCTGGAAATGAGATCCTGCCGCACAGTTGATCACGGGTCAGACACTGATGCCCAGGGAGAGCCTGGGATCGCCCAGCAGCCCCACGTCACTTCGCCTGTGGATCTCTGTCCAGCTGCCTCCCATTCCACAGGCCTCCACGCTTTGGAAGACGGTCGAGTGAGCAAGAGCTTATTAATAATTCAGTTTCCCTTTTTCCTCAAAGACCAACACAATTGCCAATCAGAGCTCCTGCTAACTACGAGAGTGTGGACAGACCGGACGGGTGTCCCGCCAGCCAAAAGAGTCGTGGAAACTGATTGAGTTCTAGAAAACACGGAAACAAGCTTGCAGACCCCACTTCTAACTTCACGGTCCCCCCCAGGGGCTGGGGAGGCCCCCACAAGGGGAACGACTTCTTTTGCTGCTCAAAATGTAAATTGCAAATTTGGGTTGCTGCTGGTCCGCCTGGTACCCATCAAGGGAGAATCTGAAAGGCTCCACAGAGACCCTGAGAACAACCCATGGGTTATATCCGATGCACGGCTCCATGGACATGCACAGCACAGTCATTCCCACGCCGGACTCAGAATGGAAAGCACACAGAATCAGAGGTTTGGGCGGGCTGCCTGACTCTGGTTCATGGGCACTGAGTTTATCACCAATTACTCTGTGCTTTCTTTGTAAATTCTTTCTTCTATCATACTTGCTGATGAAGCCTCCCTCACCCCCCATTCCTTGTATCTCCTTGGGCTCATGCATATGAGGTCAGCTCTGGCCTTTGATGCCCCTTAGAGCTAGCTGCGTTACAGCCCGGACCAGGTCCTCCCTCTCAAATTCACAGGTTCGAGGGCTAACCTCCGGCACCTCCCAACATGAAGGTATTTTGAGACAGGGTCTCAACTGAGAAAATTCGGTTAAAATGAGGTCATACAGGTGGGCCCCCATCTGATGTGAGGAGGACACATGTGTCCTTCTAAGGAGAGAAGATTAGACACAGACACCCCGAGGAAGGGCCTGGTGAGGACCCGGGGAGAAGGCGGCCATCTGCACACCGAGAAGAGAGGCCTCAGAAGGAGCCAGCCCTGCCCACCCCTTGACCTCAGACTTCCAGCCTGAAGGACCGTAAATCAATAAATCCGTATTGTTTAAGCCACCTGGTCTGTGGTACTTTGTTATGGAAACGAATAGCGAATAGCGAATGAATAGACCCCAGGAAGCAGACAGCACATGAAAATACCATTCAGGTATAAAAAACATCAACCCACAGACAGGTTTCCGTATTCAAAGTTGGATACCTGCTGGTCTAAGGTGACAAACAGAACGCTTGGTATAATTTGAGAGGCAGTGGAGAAAATTCTATCCATAACTACGGTCTTATTTGCATTTACAAATTAAGTTGCAAATATCCCCAGAAAAATGCGGATAGGGCTCTAATTATTACCAGCAGCCTCACGAGATTCCGCGGAAGCAGTGAGTGAGGTCTTCTGCTGACATCTGGCTGAGATCAACCAGGCCGTGAGGAACGGAGGCTGCCATGGGGTCGGGAGCTCAGAGAGAAAGGTTAAGGCGGAACTGGCAGTGCAAACGGGGCAGGGGGCCACGTGTCCAAGAAAGAGGAGAGGCTGAGCCCTCCCTGGGGCCAAATGCGCATGACAGGCACAGGACACAATCCACAGCTCTGCCCATGCCCACGGGGAGCAGCCAGCCTCCAGTGCCCAGACAGAGAGAGGGCAGAGAGCAGATGGTTTAAGTGCCTGTGAGCCTCCCAGGGAAGGAGGCCCAGAGCTGGCCTCCTTGTCACCTCCCTCCTTGCTATAGGAAACAGCACCTCAAGCAGAACCCTACTGTACCCACAACCTCCCTTTCAATTACGTCCTTTTCCAAGAAGAGCAAAGCGCTTCAGACAGCATATGTGTTCACTGTGCTGTGCAAACCATAGACCCCAGCCTCTCTCTCTCTCTCTCTCTCTCTCTCTCTCTCTCTCGGAAGCCAGAATAGCCCCAGCAGGCAGGTGAACAATGCGTGTGCCCTGGTGCTCAGCACCACGATTCCGCAGGACTGAGACCCACAGCACCTCCCTCCCCCGCCCCGGGCTCCCTGCGGACGGACCCTACTCCATTCTAGGCCATTCTTCTCACAACCCCCAACGACACGGGGTTGTGTCACGGAAGGAAACAAAAGGAAGGACACGGAAGGAAACAAAAACATGGACACAAAATGACTTGCACAAAGCCACGGTGACTTAGGGACATGCCTACAATTTCCCTGACGGGAAGAGAAAGGAAGGAGCGTCATAGGTACAACGTCTGGGACTGAACTCATGACGAAGCTGTGCTTATTACAGGAGCAAGCACAGAATCAAACATTTGCAGCAGCCAGGCGACATGCTCTCACGCACGTGTCCCTCCCAGCAGCCGCTAATGATGGGGTGAAAGTTACAAATGAAGTGTCACTTGAAGATGAAAAGATGCACTAATGCCCTAAAAATGGGTTCACTGGGATCTTCATTCTTCCCAAGATGATAATCTTCCCAACGTCCCGTTGTGGCTCTAACATGTCTGGTCTCCAGAGTCTGAAATGCAGTCTACTGACTGACCGCCGATTTTTGCAAACAGGAATCAAATAAGAGCTCCCCCCCATCCCTGCATGCGAGGGCAGCTTTGTGGCAGTGAGCATTTAGCGGTGTTACAAAAACAGAACTCACTTAGCGGTGAGTTACAAAAACAGAAGTTTGGGCTCTCCCTTCTATCTGCCATCTCAGGTAGATGAACGGGCACCTTGTGATGTGTTCTGGCTTTTTAGATCAGAAATGCAATAATTCCTCGGCCAACTTCATGAGACTCTTAAGAAAGGACTCGTAACACCACATACAGTGCAAACCATACATGTTATTAGTTAAAAATGAAGAGCTTGCATTTGTTCTTGTAACTCCTAGATTTTCCGATAAGCCCAAAACTCAAAAGCTTCAGAGGGTTGGGCCCGTTTCCTCTAGCCCTGCCCCAGGCCAGCAGGGAAGGTGCCGCCTCTGCGTTGCACAAGGACCTTTGCCTCCACACGGAAACATCTGGAGAGGCATGGGCCCTGGTTCCCACAAGTCAGAGAACAATTTGAAGACAAGATTCCTACCCCACTCACGGCCTATGGCCAAAGCTTGTTCATAGGATTTTCTCAACAAATCTTTCTCCGAAGGCCCGGAGTGAACAACTGTGCTGACCAGGAGGGCCTGGAGACACACTCCCGGCATCGGGTCTGGAGTCTGCGGTTTGCAGATGAGGAAGAAGAACCCCAGAGGGGACCATTGCTTTGTGTCTGTCATGCAGCTGGCTAGTGGCAAGGCCACGAGGGACACCCATTTCCTGACTAAATCCTGGCATCCTTGCCATACTTTGTACCTTATCTCCAGATCCATCCTTCCTGGCTGTCTAGTTCCATACCCCTGGGGATTTATTCCTGAAATTCATTCGGTGCCCTCACATCCTGGCATTTCCTAAATGTGCAGATCTCAGAGGCTGGGTCCTGGGGGGACTCCTGCCTTTTTGCTCAGCTTTGGAGGCTGCAAGCCCCAGCGTGCCCCTTCCGCCCAGGAAAGCTCCCATGTGCCAAGGCAAGGCCACGTTGAGCAGGCCATAGGTCGAGCCCCCTCGGGGGCATCCGGATGGAGAGTCTCGCATCCCTGCCCAGGCCACCTGTGAGAGTCAGGGCTGTCAGTGCTCCCCCAGCACACACACGGCCAGCATATCCAACCAAACCTGCACCCACTGGGGCTGGACTTTTGTTTCCCATAGGATGTAGGGGAAGAGGGGGCAGTGTGGAGTAGAACCGCTTGGCCTAGCACGAGAGTCGGCTGAACAGCTGCCTTGCCTTCCCCACGTTACTTAAAGATTCTGTGCCTCAGTTTCCTCTTCTCCATCAACTGGAGATCACAGGTAATAACCTCTCTCGCTGCGTGGTATGAGTTTGAACTAAGTTAAGACACGTGGAAGATGCAGCCTCAAGCCTGCCACACAGTAGGCCCCTGGGACATGGCCAGCTGCTCTTAATCTCCTTACCAGTCCAGACCTCAAACCAAACAATTTGTAACCGTAAACCGAGCTTCTGGTTCTCGCCCTCCACTATGTGCTGGCATCCAATGAGCAAGCATTTTCTTTGCCTTTTCATTCTTTAGAACATTTGCATGATACCCCAACATGTAATCTAGGGAAATGGCTTATTTATATGACTAGTCTTCCTTAATTAGCTATTAGCTGAAGGATGTATCCCAAATGGCACGGCAAATTACCCTGTGTTTGAAAACAGGTTGAGCATTTCAGCGGCAACACTTTTAAATTAGGAGCAGTGGCTGAACATTAACGGCAGAGCCAATGAGTGTTGGGGCGTCCCTGCCCTGCTGCGGGCCTCACCCTCTCCGTACCCTTCTAAGGCAAAGACCCGAAGACCAAAGGAAAGGCCGTGCATTGGCCACATTGCTTTAGAGATTACCTCCGCACTGAAATGGGATATCGCGCTGAGGGGACGCGAGCACAGCGCTGTCCGCCTCTGAGGACCAGAACGAACGCGCCTCTTCTTCAAAGTGGGGGCGCATAGTGCGCAGAGAGGTCTCACCCTGCGGTGGGAGGTGCAAAGTGGCCCGGCGGGCGCTCGCCTCTTACCACGAACTCCTCCAGAGTCTGGTAGGTCTTGCCCCGGAACTCGCAGTAGTTCTTCCTCTCCTTGCACTGCGGGCAGCACTGGCTCGTGTCGACGTGGATGCAGCGCGGGTGCAGCCGCGGGCATTCGGGCTGCGCGCACAGCGGCCCCTCCTCGGTGCACAGGCACGGGCAGGCCGAGGGGCCCGGCGCGAACTTCTCCCCGATGGCATACACGAAGCCGCTCTCGTCCACGCAGCCCTTGCCGCGGTAGTCCGGGTACGCGTACTCCTCGGGCGGCTCCGGCGTGGGCGCGAGGTCCGGGCCGGTCGCGTCCTGGGCGGCGGCGGCCGGGGGCTCCCCCTGCGGGGTGTCCCCGCGGGGCCGGCCCTGCAGGTCCCCGGCCTTTGCGCCCCCGCCCTGGGCGGCCCAGGCCTGCTTCTGCTTGCTCCACGCCTCCCGGCCGGAGAGCCCGCGGCCGCCCTTGCTCTTCCAGTCCCGGCCGCTGCCGCCCTCGTCCCTCGCGGGGCGCCCGAGCTCGCTCACCCGCCCCGGGCCGTCCCGAGACGCGTGCTCGCGCTTCTCCTGGCCCGGCTGCTCCGGCGCCTGGGCCAGCTTCTCCAGCGGGATGCTCGGACTGCACAGAGCCACCATCAGGCAGCAGGTGATCAGGAGGGAACTGGACAGCGCGCCAACTGCCATCGCAGTGGAGCTGGGCATCCCCTACCACGTCCCGGCGGGCGGGCGGGCGGGGAGCGCGGCCGAGGGGCGAGTCGCATTCACAGCCCGGGGGCGCGCCGCCGCCAGCCGGGAGCCGCCGTCCCTGCGGAGAGAACAGCAGCACAGCTGAGCCCCGCGGCCCGCGCGCGCCCGGCCCCCACCCGGCCCGCGCCGCCCGGCCCCGGCAGCGCTCTACACTAACGAGCCGCACGACGCGGGCGGGGGCAGCATGCCCAGCGCCGCCGCCCAGCCGGCTTCCGAGACCTCACAGATGGTGGAGACGGACGTGGAAGCGAAGTCCGGGAGAATCACCGGCCCGCCGCGTTCCTCCTGTGGCCGCGGTAGGCGGTGGGGACGGCCCTGGGCGGGTGGCGGAGCCGGAGCTGCGGGAAGGCAGCGAGCCGGGCCCGCGCCCTCCTGCGAAACTCGGAGAGAGCCACATAATCCGGGAGCCCGGGATGTGCCCCCTGGGTGCCAGCCACACTTTCCCAAACGTTGCTAAATGGAGGATTCCGCAGTGGAGTTGGACACGGAAGACCGTGCAGAAGAGAGGAGGGAAACCTTCCCCGTCTTGCCTTAGGGCGTTTGGGGAAAGGGGCGGGAGGGGGTTAACAAAGCTCCCAGGACCCTGTGATTCATCTCCAACAACTTTTTAAATGCCTCGAGTGCAGGGAGCAGACGCCGCTTCCCTGCCCTCCTCCTCAGGCCCAGAAGCACGGAAGGATGTCACCGACCACCCCCGGCGGCGGAGTCGGGGGTTCCGGAGGCTTCGGCGCCTCAGCCGTCCCTCGCCCCCATCCCCACCCCCGTGTACAGCCAGCCACTCGGCGACCAGGAGCGTTGATGAGAAACCCCCGCGCGGGCCGCGACGCTGGGCTCCTAATCGCTTTCACCCCGGAGGGGATCGTAGCGGTGAAGCAGAAGTGCCCAGGCAGCACCACCGCGCGCGGTTGGGGAGGCTGGGGATGCAGGGCGGGGGCGAGTCCCTCTCACTCAACCCATCTCTGAAAGCCTCCATGGATCCCAAAGTTTCTGTCGCCCAAAGGGGCCAAGAGAACCCTAGACGCCGCCGGGTGCGGGCAACCCAGCTCCCTTCCCCTTGCCCTCCCCCCTACTCCCTGCCCTCCATCCGGCTCGCTGCAGGGGGTCTTCACACCCCCTAACCCGGTGAAAATCCCCTCCCCCCCGGAGATCTAGGACAATCTTGCCCTGTGCTCACTTCCAGCCCCAGCCATATGGACCTCGGTTCCCACCCGTATTTGCAAACTCGGGGTCCGGGGGAGGTCCTCCCGAGCAGTGAGAGGTGGAACTGTGCCCCCGGCGCTTCCCGGCGCGCTGGGTGCGGACACCCCACATGCACCCTCAGCCTTGGGGGCGGGCGCCCAGCCTACATACATGAGCACAGGGCGCGGGCGGGACGCCGGGCTCGCGGCAGGCTCGGGGGCAGCAGCAGCGGGCGCGGTTCCGGGGCGCCGGCGCCCATCGTCCGGCCGGCTGGGTATCGGCGCAGGGCGCACCGCGGCGAGCGCAGCCCCACCTGCGCGCTCCGCCCGGCGCGTGCACCCGGCTAGGGCGTCTCCACGGGCTGGCTCAGCGCGCTGCCCAACTGGCGTCAGTGCCCGCGCCGCCCTCCGCCGCTCCGCCCCGGGTCTCGTCCCCGCGTCTCCGCCACGAAGCGCGCCCGGGGGGCCGCCCGGCTTGGCCTCGCTTTCTCCACCCGGCGGGCTCGGGGAGATCTCCGCGCCTGGCAACCGGATGCCGGGCCGCCGCCGCGCGTCGGAGGGAGAGGAGGCGCCCGGAGCGCGGCGGGCGGGCGGGTGGCACCGAGGCCCGGCGTGGGAGCCCGCGCGCCCGCCTCCCGCCTCCTCCCGCCCCGCGCGCTCCCCGCTCCCTCCTCTGCGGCCCCCGCTCTCTCGCGAGGCGTCGCTGCGGCGGCAGGCGCTGCGGGGAGTCGGGGACCTCTCGCCCGCTCGCCTCCCTGCCCAAATCGCGAGACCCACCGCGAGTCCCCCGCGCGGCCGCCTGCCCGACTCCTGCCTTGTCGCTCACTCTCCACGGCACCTTTCATCCGCGCCTCCTTCTTTCCTTTATTCTTCTCTTTATTTTCTTCCTTCCTAATTGCCCCCCCCCCCCCCCCTCCCCCCCCCCCCCCTTCTTTCTTTTTTTTTCTTTTTTATTTCCTTCCTCCCTACTCCCCCCCCCCCCCCGGCTTTCCTCCCCTTGGACGGCTTGGTTTTGCTGCCGTTGAAAAACCTGAACCAAACTGTGTTCAATTTGGAATTCCGAGGCCGCGTCGGCTTAGCAGACCTTTGGGAGTTATTTTCCTCCTGATGATCAGAAACCCAGAGGTATGGAGGAAGGAACTCGTGAAAATCCGGACAGCGTACTTTCTGAATCCCTGCCCGTGTCCCTCTCCATCCCTCGGTCTCCCTTGTCCTGCCCGCTCTCTCTTCTGCCACAAATAGAAACATTTCGGATTAATTTTGTAAGGATGCTAAACTGTTAAGCAGAGCCCTGTGTTGTGCGGTCTTGGATTCACCCTTTGATCTTGGCCAGTGGATGTGCTACTTTTCTTGGATTAAAGGAAAAAAAGGTACCTGTTCACATTAACTCCCCAAATGGAATTTTTATAGGCATGTGCATTCCCGGGGCAATGTCATCTGAGAATCACTGAAAATGCAGGGGCAAAACAGGCTCTGAGCTGGGGCAAGCTCAGGCTCTGAACTGGGGGACTGGGGAGCAGAGGACTTTAAGACAAGTTCCTGTTCTCCCCCACCTCATTTGTTTGTTTGTTTGTTTGTTTGTTTAATTATTTAAAGTGGGCTGCAGGTGGAGCCTGGAGCCCAACCATGGCTTGAACTCAAGACCCTGAGATGAAGACGTGGACTGAGATCAAGAGAGAGGGATGTTCAACCAACTGAGCCACCCAGGTGCCCCTCTCCCACCTCTTATCCTCGGCAAAGATGATGTACCTTCGGTTCTTGAAAGGACAAAGAGGCCACAGGAGGCAGGGAGAAGCTTATCCACACACACACACAAAGTAAACAAAACAAACAAACAAAAACAAAATACATAAAAAATAAAAAAAAATAAAAACAAGGCTGGTTAGAGGGTCTCTGTGTTCACAATGATTTGAGACTTTCTGCCTTTGAATCCCTACTGTCTCTTCTCTCTGTCGCCTCATCTCAAGTCACATGTGTCCCTGGAATGCAGCAGCCTGGCCACCTGTTAAATACGACATTTGTTTTGCACGGTACCATCAAGTCATGGCATCGGGGTAGCCCCAAGCGCATGTGACTAATAATAAAACCCTACCAATACGTGCTTGTGCTTCTGGCTGAAAAATTGGTTGGGGGTCTGATTGAGGGAATCGTGATGTCTCTGTATCGATCCCGCCTCAATCACAGTTCCTGTTGAATCAGAAAGCCTTTGTCCCAGCCTCCTGGTCACAGTGGAGAGCCATGATTAGGAGACAGTGGGGCTCGCAGGAAGCAGCCTGATAAAATTAGGAGCTAATTGTGCAGCCCAGCATCCAAACCACTTTCTGTCAGATGCTCTCAGAGGTGGTGGGATGAAATGAAGGGGAAAAGCAGTTTCAGAAGGATTTCTGTCCTTCTGAATAACAATACCCAGGCAGTCTTGATTAGCTGAGAAATCCAAGGAAATATTGGGGCTTTGCCGGCATCAGAAGAATTTACAATTTATTACATTAGCAATAATGATCCTTTCCCTCCCCCACCCCCTTTCTTCTTCTTGTGTTATTTGTCTACTGTCTCCTCGGGCTACAGATAAAGAGCAGAAAATTTTTCCAGTTAGGGAGTGAAGTGACATGGGTGTCATCTCGGATCTACCAAGGGTAGATTGGGGGACCTGGGGTGAATCACTGGGTGTCTCAGGAGCTTTGTTTTCTCACTGAGAGTAGAAAAAGGAAAGAAAATCTCCAAATGGATATGAATCCCCAAAAATGCACTGGCACCCTTGTCCGGTGAACCCAGTCTGTTCTGTCCATGTTTCCTTCCGGGCACCCGAGTTATACCCACCAGCAGGAGCACCACCCCACTCAGCAGGGAGTCTGAGAGCCAGTGCTCATCCTGAGCATCGGAGAGGGGAGGCTGGTCCCAGGCCAAGATCTAGGTTGACTCTTCAGTGCTCTCTTCTATTTTAAACAAGACTATGACAGAGTTTTATATGTCTACAATGACATATTATCATCCTCTCCCAGCGAGACTTGGTTTATGTCCCTGTGACAGGCAGGTGACTTTCTCGGAGCTGCTACGTAGCTGCACCCACCTCCGAAACAGGGGCTCCATGGAGGGCTGGAGCTGCTCATGATTCATCTTTCTGTGCTTAGTCTAGGGCCTCAGTGACTCAAATAAGGAGGGAGGGAAGGAATGACGGATGAATGGAAGGGAGGGAGGGAGAGGGCAAGAGAGGAAAGGAAAGGAGGGAAGGAGGGGAGATCAAGAACATCTGTGGGAGCAAGGGGAGAAAAATCTTCGAGAAACACACTCATCTCTCGCGCAATGCTGGGCACGGTTAGGCGCATCTCATTCACTTCCATTCCACGCTCCCAAGTCTTGGGGGCGCCATTACTGTCTTCCATTTTGCCGGTGGGAAACCATACCTCAACGAGGTGGCGAGTTCGCTAAGGTCAGGGCTAACCGGGCTAGAGCCGAGCTGACACCCAAATCTCAGACTCTTGTCCTGGGGCAGCAAGACAGGTGGTCTCCAGGGGGAGGCGCTCTGTCCGTCACTTACTGGACTTACATCGTTCCTCCCGGCTCCACTGTTAGGCCACTCCCACGGGACTGCGCGCCCCCAGGGTGCGGAGAAGCCCTGGGACATGGAAGTGACTAGACCAGGCTGTGGACGCTAGACGTCAGTTGCTGGCACTCTCACGCATGTTCACCTGTTTAAAACGATGACAGGAGCTCAGCTGACCTTTGCCTAGGAATGCGGGAGCAAACTGAGGGAGGATAACTTGATGAACAGCCTTTCAGACCTAGAGGAGGAGTGAGGAAACAGGAAAAGGAAAAACTGCAAAAACCAGAGGCTGTCAGCCTTCATCAGTCGGGGTTAGGAGGAGTGAAAACTGCTT